TTCTGTAAATGTTACAATGTTTCCTGTATTTCTGTGCTAAGCATTACTTCCCTGTTCGACACAAATGCCCAGATCTGGAGACATATTGGTCTAAGCTCCCTTTTAGCATCCATCAACTTGCTGCTTGTGTTTAGGGTGACTGTTAGGCCTTGACAATGGAAATGGAATGAGAAACGTGTCTCTGAGTCGGCAAATACAACATGTCAGGTCTCAGCTAGTAACAAATATTGTAGAACATAAATAGATAAGAATTCAGCCAAAGCATTTAACTTGAAGACATGGAATCTTTACACCCATTCATCAGTAACAAAAATGTATTAACCACTATCCCATTTAAAGGTAGACCTATTCTATGACTTGACCAAAAAAATGCTGAATATATTTTTTTATTGTAGTCTTTGGGATGGACCTACAAATCTAGAGGTCCATAAAGACACATGTCACAGGCTATGCTAACCAGCTCAGCAGAAGAACATTCTGCAGTGAAAGGTCTGGTAGATTGAAGTTTGAGAATAACCTATGATAAGGTGCAATATATAGTAAATATATTACATGATTTTGCTTTATTATTAACAGGACGTCAACCGTCTCAGGCTGAAAACCTTTCTTTATCTGTGTACATTCTTGTTTTCAATGCTGTCATTTTGTAATTGCTAATTTTTGTTATTTTAACATAGTTTATATCTACATTTAACAAAAACCTAAAACCTGAAATGTTATGTATTTGCTATACAGCCTGCTTTCATTATGTTTATTTCATGATCACAGGCATAGCCCTCACATTTTTCCACTAACTGCACATTTGTTTTTGTTTTCTTCTTTACTGTTGGTATGTAACATCTGGTGGGTAGTGATGTCGCGAACTTGAAATTTTTGGTTCGCGAATGGCGAACGCGAATTTCGGCAAATGTTCGCAAACCCGCGAACCGGGCCAACCGCCATAGACTTCAATAGGCAGGCGAATTTTAAAACGCACAGGGACTCTTTCTGGCCACAAAAGTGATGGAAAAGTAGTTTCAAGGGGACTAACACCTGGACTATGGCATGCAAACTCCGCATCTTGCAGCCGCTTAGTAGATAACTCCCTAATCCCCACGGTATTAGAGAGCTATCTACTAAAAGGCTGAAAGACCTAAATTGGTCTTTCAGCCACATTTACTAATACTAAGTAAAGATTACTTAGTATTAGTAAATTCTGCCCCTACTCGCTATGCAGCGAGTAGGGGCATGTCTAGTAAGCAGTGAGCAGCCAGTGGCTGCTCACTGTAAAAAAAACAAAAACAAAAAACCTATTGCCCCCACCCCTGTGCGACGGGTGGGGGTCATAAATTACAATGGGGGGAGGACCTACTGTCCTCCCCCCCGGCCCCCACCCCTGTGCGACGGGTGGGGGCCATAAATTACAATGGGGGGGAGGACCTACTGAGCGGCGGGTGGGGGCCCTAAATACTAAAAACGGGGGGGACCTAATATCCTCCCACCCTGCCCCCCCCTGCCCCCACCCCTGAGCGGCGGGTGGGGGACCTAAAAAAAATGTGTCCCCCCCCAGGTGACTAGGGGTCCCCAAACCCCTAGTCACCCCCTCCCCCCCCAAAAGAAATTAACCCCCTACCTACCCTCCTCACCCTAAAAATAATGAGGGGGGGACCTTTAACTAAGTACCTGTAAAAAAAAAAAACTTACCATTCAATGTTTTCTTTCTTCTAAATCTTCTTTTTTCAGCCCCAAAAAAGGCCAAATAAAAAACCATAATAACCGACGCAATTAAAAAAAAAAAAAACGAGCGCAAAAAAATAATAATCCATCTTCACCCGGGCGAGGGTCTGCAGCAGATTGATGCTTGCAGGGCGGGAAGGGGCTTATAAAGCCTTGCCCCTCGCTTCCCTGTATTGTTTCAGAGCACTCTGGATTGGTGGTTTAAGCCATCCCAACCAGAAAGTGCCTGACAGGCAAAATGAAGAGACTGATTGTAGAAAGTCTTCATATTTAAATAATAGCATCTTCATTGTTGCTTTTTTGAATTTTCACGCTGTGTAATTTGACTTATACCACTTGACGTACTGAAAGTAACCAATCAGAGTGTTATGAAAGTCATACTGTTGCTGGAAACCCAAAGAACTTTCCCACGCTTGTGTGTGTAATGATATACTCGATTGGTGGATTTCAAACCAACCAATCAGAGTGCTGTGACAGGTAAATGAAGAGACTGACAGGTCGGGGAGGACCTTAGGTCCCCCCTCTTTTTAGTATTTTGGGCCCCCACCCGCCGCTCAGGGGTGGGGGCCGGGGGGGAGGACATTAGGTCCCCCCCTTTTTAGTATTTAGGGCCCCCACCCGCCGCTCAGGGGTGGGGGCCAGGGGGGAGGACCTTAGGTCCCCCCCATTGTGATTTATTTGCCCCCACCCACCGCTCAGGGGTGGGGGCCAGGGGGGAGGACATTAGGTCCCCCCCTTTTTAGTATTTAGGGCCCCCACCCGCTGCTCAGGGGTGGGGGCCAGGGGGGAGGACCTTAGGTCCCCCCCTTCTTAGTATTTAGGGCCCCCACCCACCACTCAGGGGTGGGAGCCGGGGGACACACAGAAGTTCCCCCCCTATTGTTTTTTTAAGGGCCCCCACCCACCGCTCAGAGGTGGGGGCCGGGGGGAAGACAGTTGGTCCCCCCCCATATCATTGAGTAAACTTTGACAACCCCCACCCCCAAGTGGCGGGTGGGTGGGTTGTCAAATTTGACTCAATGATATGGAATAGGGGGCGGACCGAACATCGCATATGTTCGCCCGCCGTGGCGAACGCGAACATGCGATGTTCGCCAGGAACTATTCGCCAGCGAACTGTTCGGGACATCTCTACTGGTGGGGTAAAAAAACGTAGACAGATGTTCTCTATGAAATGTTCTATTATAGGGGGATCTGGCAATCCTTGGTTTTTACAAGTGCTACCACAGTGCGAAAGTGGAAGGACTGTGAACTGGTGGGTGTAGACAAGTAATAGGTAGCAATTTAAAGCTGTCCACACCAAATGCCATGATAGCCTGGGTTCTCCCGCACCAAAATGTGCAATGGTTTCCTTAAACCCTTTTATCCACAACATTCTGCACACAGCTTAGCCCATAAATGGTGTTTTCAACTTTCTCTTATCCAGTATCCATACATGTCTCCTGAGTTGTGCCTTCAGATCACAAATTTTGTAAATCACATATAGGGTTATTCACTAAAGTGAGAATTCAAAATGAATTTCAAATGTAAGGACAAAGTAGCCAAACTGGAAGAATATGTGACTTAGAGAATGTTTCCACTTTGATTATTTGTTCTTTGAATGTAGAATTCACTTTTGATTCTCACTTAAGTAACTAACACTATCTCATGCAGCATGTCAAGGTTGTTCAGGGAACACCACATAGGGCTTTCCAGTCAGGTGTCCCTTTTAAGATCTAATGTCAGACAATTTAATAAGAATCACAGAAAGAGTCGGAAAAGAGCAAAGTTTGGAGAAATCCTCAGAAACAGTTCACTTTTTTGTAGTGTTCCTAATGTCTACAGAGATCTAGCCAAACTTGCAAAGTTCTAAATGAAAAGATGTTTAACTCAGCATATCTATCAGAAATGGAAGAGAGCACCTGCATGCGCAGCCACCCAATCTAAAAAAAAAAATGGCATTCATTGAGGCATGCTGTACAAATCATTTTGGAGCAGGCATTTCCTCCACCCATGTTAAAGAAGGCAAATCTGATTTGATTCAGTTTGATGAACTTGACTTATAAAAGTCAAGTGAAAAAAGTTGCAGTGTTTTATTAAACTGACACACAAATAAAATAAATGCTTTAGAGTTTGGGGCAATTTAGGGTTGGGGGATTTTAGTGTTAAGGTAAGTCAATATTTAGGGTTAGGCAGGTACACTTAGTAGGAATTTGGGTTAGGAGATACCTGCATTATTCCTATCAATTGCTTTTAGTCCTCACTAAAGAGAAGAACCATTCCCCAGCTTTTGTTGCAGAGCATTTTAATCTACTGAAGGACAACACAAACCACAACCATCCACGCCATACTCTACAACTATATAGAGCACTACCAAATCTAAACGAAAAACTGAACCTTAAAGAGTTAATCCGGAGCTCAATATGGAAACATTTCAAAGAAAATGAAGATTGACAGAGCATGCATTGGTATTCCTTCTGACAGACCACATCCAAACTGCTGGTTAGTTTTTGAACTATTTGTCATGGGAGAGAGGCCATTTACTTCTTTTGTATCACGCTCTTAACAACTTTTAGTCATCTGGGGGTTCTCCTTTTCCCCTCTGCTCTCTCTTCTTGCTTTTAGATCTGAGCGTTACCTTTGATGTAACACTTTAACACCACATCAGAATATAGATCTCGCTTCAGAAGAAGAAGTGCATTTTAACAACAGCCATAGATGACATCACTTCAAACAGTAGTTCTTTTTTAATATAAATAAAAATAATATGACACAAATCAGGACCTTCAACATTCTGTTCACTTTTGCTGTGTAGCAGGGCACCAGCACGATCAACATTAATGTTTTATTAACTTATTGGCATTGCAAACACATACATATGTTTTGGTATAACAGAAGCTTATGGACTGAAAAAAACTGTCAAAAAACTCGATCACACAGGGGTTTATTTACTAAACTTGGAAATGGTAAAGAACTAACAAGGGAATTGTGAAGTTTAGGTCAACATATCCAAGCTGTAAAAAGTGAACTCAGCTATTAAAGGGTTTATTCACTAAAAGATGCATGTTGGCTTTGCAAAATATAGTCCAAAATAGCTGGTGTGGAAACATTTTCTAGCTCAGAAATAATCACAGCTTGGTTGTTTTGGCCAACGTTTTGCAATCTGGTTTTCAATTCATCAACATTCACTATTTAGTGAATAAACCTCTTTGTTCGCAATCTGAGTAAAGTGCACTGAGCAAGAATATGTGTACATGTATTTGAGCATCTCTTTAACCAATGCATCTTGGGTCATATGTCCAGTCATCATGGGTTAATAAGCCTGTTCCTAGATCAATATATTTACTGTGACATAGGTGTGGGTATAAAGTGTAGTTATATAACTTTGATATATATATTGATCTAGGAACAGGCTTATTAACCCATGAGGACTTTTGCTGTACAACCACTTTACACCCACACCTATAATACTGTCCCAGATATCATGCAGAATAATTCTCTCTGAGATGATATGACTCAGAGGAAGTATCTACCGGGGTACATTTCTAGATGGGACCATTGTACACCCTCTGCCAAACATCAATAAGCTTTTCTGTGCAGTTTAGCTCTTGAATTAGCAGTAAATGGCCTCTTTTTAGAGTTTCGTATCACATATCTCTGGCGTCAGTTAAATTCAATTTGTAATACTGTGGAGAGAATGAAAAGATACTGAGAACTTTAGGACAGTGTGCTTCATGAAATGCATAAGAATATCAGCATTAGGCTGTTCCCAGGCAAGTTTCGGGCAGCAGGAGCAATCCGGTGGATGCCAAGATATTACATCACTTCACTTAGCTCTCTGACCAAATACATGACCTCTTTTGATATTCTGTTCATACACGGAGAAAGATGCAATCTAGACAATATATATTTCATACGGACATTTCAACCATTAACACGTTATTATGTAAATAGCATGGTAGCCATAAAGTTTTATGGTTTTAATTAAAACTTAAAAATGAAGGCCACTTACTCAGAAACTTTTGAGTGAGACTGTTAAGGGCGTGCTTTTTTTTCTCTTTTTTTCCTTATTTCAACAGTAGAAATTTTTACAAAATGGTAATGGAACTGGGTCAAAAACCAAGCACCTTGCTAGTTAAGAGGTGGCTAATATTTGATACAGCAGCTTTGTCTGTAGTGCGTTTCTCATGAAGCTCATCCAGCCAAAATGTACAGATGCTTTTGATTCTTTGTGTCTTATAGAATTGGGTCTTCATAATCTCTGTGTGGTGGGCTACAAAAGCTGCAAACATATTTTACACTGATAAGAGAGTCTGTTACTGTAAAACATGGCTAAGTATCAGATTTCCTGACTTTCAGGTCCTGTCCTCCCATCCTGATTTTGTTCCCTGGTGTCCCGCTTTTTGGGGCACCAGAGAACTGTACCCAGTAAGCATATTTTTAAAGTACCATAAGCCTATTTCTAAGTGTATTGCAGAAGGGCTAGCGGACAGAACTGGCACTAATATTAGGCAGAACAGTTGACTGCCTTAAGGCACCCTAGCAAGAGGCCCAAAATCCTCTGGGCTGTGGTGGCCAAATAGCGATCACAACCTATCAGTCATTCTCAGAGAGCTGATTGGTAGATCGCGTATAGAGTGCTGACTCAAGTGCTGACAGGTGGCCACAATCTTTACAGTATGTCCTGGTGCTCTCCTGAGACCAGGATATGCTCTAGGTATTTTGACTCAGACTCCACCATTCTAGCTGCACATTGAGGGATCAGAGAGAGTTCCAGCATGTCTCAGCTGTAGCCTGACACTGGATGCCAATGGCCCAAGTGCAGCCATTACTTACAGAGCTGGTTGCCCGTATCCATCTGCTGGCCACTGGCACCAGTGTAGTCTGCACAGCATCAGATACTCGGGATGCAATAGCATAATACACAGAGTCAGCCAGAGCCAGACAAAGAGTCTTGGGATTGGGATGGAGGCGGAAACACTGCCACTTATAAAGATGCTGCTTTCTGTGCTGCACTGCAATGTGGCATGGATGGACATATTAAAAAGTGGGCAATGTTGTGGGCATAATAAAATGGAGACAAACTGATAATTATGCAGGCAATGTGACACTGATGAGGTTTCGCCTGCCATCAGTTAAATTTCTTTTTTTGATAAGTCATAGTTTGTCGCCATTGTTTGCAACTTAGTCAAACGCTCTTTGAATAAGCCTCAGAGTGCCGTGTTTCCTCTGATTTGTAAAGCATAAATATGGCACTTTCTGCCTCTGAATATGTGCATCTATTTATATATCAATATTTTTTTTCCGGTGTTGTATGATTTAGTGGTGGGAATTATTAGGTCCCCCCAAATATTTTGTTACTAGAGTCGCCAGTGCTCACAATTGTCCCTATTTAGTGCACAAATCCCTCTGTCCTTCTTTTCTATCCTAATGTCCCTCTTTCCTGGGAACTTCATATTGTTGGTGTGTCTGAGTGTATAACAGAGCTTCACAGCAATAACACTCACAGTAGTGAGTCTTTAAATTACAATAAGTGTGTTTAGAAAACAGTTTGTGTAAAAAGCTAATTTTGTTTTTGATCTAAATTGCATTTTAGATGCATAAATTGTTACTAGTAAGAGTTTTCCTCTTTATCCATTTGAAATGTTGGGAGGTATGACACTGACTGTAATTTAAAGCTGAAATTCATACAGCCTGTTTAAGAAGATCTGGTAACAAAATCATCAAAACTGCGGCTGGAGTCTGAGAGGCTTGTTCATGTATAGTAACATTGAAAACAAGTATAACATATGCAAATTCATATGTAGTCCACATTTACCATACCCAATCGCCTCTGAGCTCAGGCAGCTGGAATGAGAGACACATGGTCTTCACCTTTAAAGGATTATTCCAAGCACCATGACCACTTTGGTAATTTGAAGTCTGCATGAGCAGTTTTCCAACATGTAACACTGCACATACAGAGGTAAAACCCTTTTCTGTCAAGGAGCAACATCACTAGTCAGTACAGAACAAGAGAGTTCCGGACTTGCTAATGTTGGCATAGAATGTTGGTGACAGATGGTTAATGGCAGCTTGGCCCACCCCATGGCGCTAAAGCTCTCCCCTAGCCTGTCCTCCCTATTATCCCTCCCCCTGGGGTAACAACAATGGAGAAGGATTGGGCTGCAGGAAGAACTTGGTGCTGAATAAATGATAAGTTTATGTCAGTAAAAGTTACTCTGGGACTATTCCAGTAAAAGTTACTCTGGCCAAAATCAGCGTTTCACTAAAACCCCTCTCTAAATTGACACTCAGAGGTCATTCCCATCTCTTTACTCTAACACTCTGAATAAAAGACCATCAATAATACATATTTAGGGTATGCAATGCCGTAGCCTACATTTCAGCAACATTATACCTGGCCAAATATGCTTGGTCGAATCAAACTGAACAACCACAAAATCCCTGAACTTTGTTATTATTTTTAACCTGTCACAATTGGTTCTTTTTCAGTAATAGTATACACAAAAAGCAGTTTACATTTTAAAAAAAAACACATTTTAATAAATATCTTATCTTTATTTAAATATTTTTTGTGAAACACGTTGGAGCCAGCACATCAATATTTATACAGTTATGTGTAAAAAACCTAATCTGGGATTACTTCAAAATTCAGTCTCTAGGGAGGAAGTGGCTGACCAAGTGACTGCATATACGTGTTTTAGTGTTTCTCTGCATTTAGAGATTTTATTTATTTCATACCAATCCCACGAGCCATGGAACCCTCTCCACATTCTCACTGCCCCAGAGATTTACCCACCGGAGCCTCCTAGACTGCCAGATATTAGGCTCTCATTCAAGCGGCCTTCACCACAAATACTTTCCAAGTTGGCGCCTGCCGGAGGTCCGTGGAGGAAGCCTCGGAGGAATCCCTGGAAGATGAGGAGCTTATTGCCTCTCCCCGACTGAGTGAAGCTTACCAGGATGCTGATTCAGAAGATTCTACCTCAATGAAGGCGGATATAAAATGTCTACACCTGGATCTGCACAGAGTATGGAAGGCTGACAAGAGTCCCAGAGACCCAGCAGGAGACAGGAGCAACAGCAGAGGAGTGGAAGAGAGAGAAAAAGCCCAAGATGATCAACTGCAGACCACCAAGGCACACATGGAGGGACTTACTCAACAGCCTGACACTGGATGCCAATGGCCCTATTGTAGCCCTTACTTACAGAGCTGGATGCCCGTATCCATCTGCTGGCCACCGGCACCAGTGTAGTCTGCACAGCATAGGTCCAGATAATGCACTGAACGTTGGAATACCAGCATAGGCATTTCAATGACTGCCTGAGGGGAATGCTGAAAGGGGGAAAACGGGAAAGCATTATTGCCCTACACTGGTCACATCAATAGGTCTAAAAGGAGGATTAGACTGCTGCATACAACTTACAGCATTCTGTGTGTGCAAGGCTGTGACAGCCCCGGCGGCAGTCCCCAGGGACACAATTACTGTCACCAGAGCTATATCAGTGCGATCTACCATCATGCCTCCATCCAGAGAGTTTGGTGGCATGAAGTTTGAGGGTGCCTCGGTGACATTCTTAAGAGACATCCCATTCGCTGTGCTGATGGAAACGCATAAATTGGCTCCAGTGGCTAAAACGTTGAGGGATTACTCGGTCCAATACCACTTGGGAACCGAAGGTGCTCTGATTGTCCCACTAGGAGCCAAGACTATTACTTTATCCTCGGATCAGGACCCTAAGGCATTTTTCCAGAGTCTGAACCTACAAGACACACATGCAGGAGGAGGAGGGCAGAAGAATATCTGAGAAGTGGCACACAGAGACTCTGGGGAAGGCACCTCGCTGACCCAGTCCAAGCCCACCAAGGTCATAGTTCCTAGGTTCTTATCTCATATGAAAGGCTTGTTGCAATTAAACCATAATACCACCGTTCATCCAACCATCATTTATGTCCTAACCCAACTGCTGTTTATGCTGTGGCAATATATTTCTAAGATGGGTATATAAGGCAACTCTACACAATTATTTACCGTATATACTCGAGTATAAGCCGAGTTTTTCAGCACATTTTTTGTGCTGAAAAACCCCAACTCGGCTTATACTCGAGTCAGTCTGTATTATGGCAATTTACATTGCCATAATACAGACTGGGGGCTGGCAGAGCTGTTACTTACCTCTCCTGCAGCTCCTGCCAGCTCTCTCCTCCTCCGCGCCGGTCCGGTCAGCACCTCGGTCAGCTCCCAGTGTAAGTCTCGCGAGAGCCGCGGGGTCATAGTGCGGCTCTCGCGAGACTTACAGTGTGAGCTGAGAGAGGAGCTGCACGGACCGGCGCAGAGGAGGAGAGAGCTGGCAGGAGCTGCAGGAGAGGTAAGTAACAGCTCTGACAGCCCCCCTCCTCCCCCCACTGAACTGCCAATGCCACTGGACCACCAGGGAAGGAGAGCCCCCCTCCCTGCCATGTATCAAGCAGGGAGGGGGGACGAAAAATAAATACATTAATAATATATAAATAATAATAAAAAAATAATAAAAAAAAATAATAATATAACAAAAAAATTAAAATAATATCAATTAATAATATATAAATATAAATAATAATAAAAAAATAATTAAAAAAATAATATAACCAAAAAAATTATTTTTTTTTTATAAAAATGCCCACCCCCCACCAAGGCTCTGCAACACAAACACACACTGCATCACACACACACACACACTGCATTCATACACACACTGCATTCATATACACACACACTGCATTCATACAAACACACTGCACTTATACACACACTGCGCACTCATACACACACACTGCATTCATCATATACACACACTGTAAATAAATATTCAATTAATATAATTTTTTTAGGATCTAATTTTATTTAGAAATTTACCAGAAGCTGCTGCATTTCCCACCCTAGTCTTATACTCGAGTCAATAAGTTTTCCCAGTTTTTTGGGGTAAAATTAGGGGCCTCGGCTTATATTCGGGTCGGCTTATATTCGAGTATATACGGTACCTTATGCTTATTGCTTCTGCACCTACAGTCTATTTATCATGTGGTATTCCATGCTGTTTATTTTTTATTTTTTTTCCTTTATACACTAATGTGAATGTATTCTATCATAAACAAAAATCAATAAAGTACAAATTTGAAAAAATACAATAATAAAATACAGTCTCTATATTGTGGTCATAATCAACTAGCTAAAAAGATGTGCAGAGGTCTACATAGAATAATACACCACTGGAACACTGCTGTGAAGAAGAAGGAGGGTAAAAATAATAATAATAATAATAATAATAATAGAAAAATTAAAAAACAAAAAACATTATCTCTTTCCTTATCTCTCTTTCACATACACACACAGTCTCTCTCTCTCCCGATCTGTTTACTTCCTAAAATAAAACACGGATCAAGACAAGTCAAGGTGCTCTTGACAGCCATGGGGACACCGGCAGAGTAATACCAACTGCCAGCACACTGAGCGGTCAGGTCCTGTCCTTGTAAGTTCTATCTAAATTACAGTACCAAATGTTTGCTTTATTTTCATAAAAACAAAAACTGATTTTACTAGGAGAAAAAATGTTTACCAAAAAAATAGCTACTAAATTTCAGAACAACCATAATCAGAACATCTTGAAGAATCTATTGACAGATGTATGTTTTGCAAAAGAGAGGATCATGATTCAAAAGCATATTTCAAATGCAGTTGTTTAGAAAGTGCGTTTGTTTTATTTCATTGAGCAATTGAAAAATTATAAATCTTTCAGTCGAAACTTTCACTCATAATAAATTATTCTGCTAACAGGCAACTGCAAGAATACTCATGTATTATTTATTTTCCTCAAATAAACAATACATTCGTCAGCCTGATAGCGAGAAACTGCATGAAGAACGATCATCATTTTTCTTAAAGTGAAATTATATCACAAATTTAGGTTAAAGTATCTAAAACTCATTGACAACTATGACTTATTGTCAGCTAATCTTTGATGTCTACAGCTATATTTTCTAGATATATTAGCAACAGTATCAAAAGTTTTTCTACAGTGTGAAACAATTTTGGTTTGTTTTTGGACCCCTTGTTAGGTATCTGTGTTGGTGGGTACTGAGAATCAATTTATGGAGATATAATCTCTCTAGGGCAGTGGTATAGAACCCCATCCTCAAGGCCCACCTTTGGTCCTGGTTTTGTCAGTATACCGAATGGAACAAGATCGGAATTACCTAAAACCTGGACTTTTGGTGTGCCTTGAGAACTGAGTTGGCAACAACTGCTCTAAAGATAATGATTTGAAGTCAGTAAAAAAGGTTAAAGAACATTGTTGAACGTATTGCTTTTAAGTGAAAGACATCAGTACACATGAGTAACCTTCCCACTGACGTACTGGAGTCTAACATAGTCAAGTACTTCAAAAATGCCTGGGATATATGTATTAATCTAGCCTTTGAGAAATTAAAGAAACTATGCTTTGTTTTTATGAGTGTTTACTATCAACGTTCTTGTAATCAGATAATTAAATTCTGCTCCATAATGAACCAGTCATTTGAAAAAAGAAATGCATCCATGTTTTCAAACGGAGGTATGTTGTTATCCGTGTGCTGTTTCATACTGTAACGGAACCGCTGGCACCCAGACCGGGTACCTTCCGCCGACGGTAGCTCCTAGTGCTCTCCGAGGACTCCAAGCACTCTGCCTGACACCATAACCACTGCAGACCCCACGAACCGCCGCAGCTTGGTTGGGATCTTGCCGTCTCCACCCACTCTGGACCCAGGACCAGGGTCCAGCTTCCAGCAGGTCAACCTCTCTCCGAATTCCAGAGAGCAGGAACAGGAACAAGCTCTTAGCAGAGCTTAGTGATTATACCCTGGGGAGTATGGTGATTATAGCAATCCCCAGAGTGTAGTTTCTCCAATCCCCCAAACATGAGCCGAAACTTCATGAAGGTACAAGATGATCTGACTCCAATGAGCGTTTATTACTCCTTATATACAAGTTTTCAGGTCAGAGGCACACCCCCTGGACCTGGTGGTAAACTGTGACAAAAGGGACACAAACCAATGGGAACACTAATTAACATGATAACACTCTCACATACACAATGAAATCCCTCCTCTCCATCCTGGAGATAATTGGCTTAAGGCACTGCAGTAAACTCAATTATCTCCAGGTACAGAAAATATCTACATTTAACACTAACAGCAAAATACGTAAAAGTACATAAAAATACATAATTCTTATTTTATTACACAGAACCCCCACATTTAACCTATCCCCAGATAGCTCGGATCTGAGCGCCCAATCTAGGTGAACAGCGCTCAGATCCCATGAACAGAGTAGATTTTCCACGGGGTAAAGCATAGCAAGGGCTGTTGAGAAACCAAGGAGGGACAAAAGCAGTCAGTTCCAACTGGTTTGGCAGTGTGCCTGGGACAACGCCCTGCTGGAGAACAATAGACAGGAAAAGGGGAGGGGAAGAAACACACCTTCCCATGGATTCAAATGGGAAGAAACTGTCTTTAGAAGCCAATAAGCCCCAAATAGTCTTTTTAAATGGCAATACACCCCAGGGCCAAAGTCATGAGGAAGGAGGCTGGCAATCAGGCTCCTCCAAAAGCCAGGGGCTAAGGGCAGCTTGTCACCTAACAATCCAGGGACACATACCTAGGTTCCATATTTAACAACAGCGTTCAGTCCCACCTGACAAGGATCAGGCTAGGACAAAAAATTGACCAAGGCATTTAAAAGCAGTGATGGGCAATAAGAGGAGGCAGGGAGTGTCATGTCGGCCCCAATGACAAGCACACTGCCCCAAAATGAACATGTTAGTTAGATGCCTCTCCAGGAAGCCCATGTGTAGAGCCCTCAGGGCCAGTGCAAGGATTTCTGCCGCCCTCGGCAAAGATCCATTTTGCCACCCCCTCATGTCACTCACTCAATGACACACACATTCACTGACAGTCACACACACGCTGACACACATACACTCACTCACTGACACACACACACACAGAAACTCACTGACAGACATACACACACTCACTGACAGACACACACACACAGACATACACTCACACAGAGACTCACTGACAAACATACCCCCACACTCACTGACAGACATACACTCA